GCCAGGGCTACACAGAGAAACCCTGTCTCTAAAAACCAAAAAAAAAAAAAAAGAAAGAAAAAGAAGAAAAATCAGAGAGAGAAAGAGACAGATGAAGGCTGGTACAAGAATTGGTTTTCAGCCTCCCCAAGGTTGTCAACCCTATTTCCTCCCATCTTGGGACCATTATTTGGGTTCTTTTTGCTTTTTTCTGCTGGTCCCTGGCTCTCAAATAGGTGGACTAACTCTGTGATACAACAGATAAATAATTTGGTAGCAAAACCTACTCAGATACATTATCATAAGTTAGCTATGGAGGACCACGAGACTCAAGATGAGGTTGTTACTTTATACAGGGTGTTTCCAAAACCCATCTCCACCCAACCTAAAAGGGGGGACTTCTGCCCCTAGACCAAGCAGAGAGGGGCCACCCAGAACCCCCTCTGTCAGTCGATCTGAATTCTTGCTTAGGCTGCGAGGCTAAGCACTGTAAGGGAATATCAATAAAAGATAAAAATATCTATCTGGGTTCCCTGAGGGACAAGCCTGACTGCATAGGGGTTGATGTCAAAAGTATCCCCTCTCCAGGAAAAAGACATCGGGATGGGTATGGCCCTCATGCCTCAATGGACAACGACAGGGGGACTGGAGCCATTACAAGGTCCCCTTCAAATACTGGAGGTCAGGCCTCTATCCCCGCCTTCACAAGTTTAGAATTGCCACAGCCCTTCTACAATTAGAGAAGGGAGGAGATGTCAGGGGCAGCCCTGCTTACACACTGAAGGCCTAAAATCAGCCATAGGCCTAAAATCAGCAATAGGCCTGTCATACATGTATACTAACACCAAGTCTTGGGTCTCGGTGGAAAAACATTGAAACAGATGGCTATAAACTAATGTAAACAGGCAGCTTTTGTGGAAATTTACAAGCCTGAGTAGTCATAGACCTTATAAATAGGTAGCCTAGGCAGACAACACCAACTTAGATAAGGACAAGCGAGTTATAGGCAGAGTCATAGTGACTTGTCCCCTGAACCTTCACCCAGCCGATACCCAGTTCTGATGATATCTGTATTCCCCCTGATCACCCACACTCCAGTGTCATTCCCTTCCCCACGTCCTGCCTTTCTGTGTTTATAACCCCTGTGTGAATGAATTACGACTTGAGAAAAAATAAATTATAAAAAAAAGAAACCTAAAAAAAAAAGAATAGTACCAAGTGGCAAAAAAAAAAAAAAGAAAGAAAGAAATCCTGAATGTGTCTATAGTATGATGTACATATGTTGTGTGTAATTTTTAAAAACACGTTACTATCTTTCCCAGGAGCTAGGCCAGTGCTCTAACCTCTCCTGGTTTCCTTTGCTCCATCCCACTTAGCCCTGAATCAATTGCAACCATCCCCCAACCCAGCTTTGCAAAGCCACCAGCTATCACACCGGCTTCTCTCTTTCTCTGCCCACCTTTGCTCCATGGATAAAAAACACTTAGACAGCTTTATTATTTTAGAACTTGCCAGATAGTACAATTGCTGGGAGCAGAATCTGCTGCCCTAAACTTTGTCAACCAGCCTCCACCAGTGGTGGAGGCCGCCAGTTCTAGCTTCTTCAAGATCTTACATGGTTGTATCATGTTTCTCCTTCCAAAGCCTGGCTGAAAAACCCTTGTTCTTTCCCTGTGTCTCTCTTTTTTTCCTCCTGGGACCCAGAAGTCTCACCTGTCCCATCCAGCAATTGGCTCCAGACCTTCTTTACTGACAAAATCAACAACCAATTAGGGAATCAGCACCTCCCCCTACACACATACTTTAATTTTCTAAAATCTGGAAAAATGAAACACATCTATTTCCCAAACTCAGTCAATTCAGAGACTTTTTCTACATAGGTTTTTAATTTTTTTTAGTCTGTGTGCTGAAACTATCCATCCTAAGAGATAATCTACTCTCTGCATAAAGTCTATGGGAGACTGAATAGACGACAAAATAACTAAAATACAAGCCATCTTTGAATCCAAATGGTCCATGTGTGAAGTAGAAACTTAAGGATTCTCTAGAAAGTTGTGTTGAATGGTGTTTTGCTGGGGCAATGAGACCCACAAACATTGCACAGCTAGCTCTATAAGTAAGCCAGACTCCTTTCCCCCACTCCACTCCATTACTGTCTGTAGAGTCATTATTATACCCTCCAAATAGCACATGAACTCCAGATGTCTTGCTTCAGCAAGTGCGTCTGTCTCAACTGGCATCACCCTGCCAATCAGCCCGAGTCTGTGGCAAGAAACTGCAGGACACCACCAGAAGTTTTTTGGTGCGTTTCTTTCTGTGGAATCCCAACAAATGCAGCTCAACTACGAAATGTAAGGTGGACCACTGTATGCATGTTGTTAGCAAAGAATCCATCATCATGTGTCCTTTCACATGCTTGCTTTAGCAGAACATCCTTTCTCCTGTGTCTGCTTCAGCAAAAAGTTCCTTAACAAATCCACCTTACTTAGTCTTTCACCTGTGTCCACTTCAGGAAAACACTCCTTCACGTGTTTGCCCCAGCAAAACACCTTCCAACTGACTTTCTGAAGAACCCTTAAATTTCTACTTCATTGGGGAGTCACAGGATGCTGATTTCATAGGATAATCCAAAGCAAGCCTGGAGTAAATGACTGGATTGATACGTAAAATAAAAGACTGGGCTTATGATCTGCAAGAGATGAGCTATCTAGAGAACTGGCTGGAAAGCTGTCTCGAGCAGAGATGAGTCACCAGCTTCACCCCACAGTCTGATGTAGCAGTGATTTAGTTAGACGGCTTTGGCTCCAGGTAGGTCACAAGTGGGCACTGCACCTGCCAAGAGCTCTCTGAATTCACGCGCACGCGCGCACACGCGCACACACACACACACACACACACCAGCTAATGTCTATGCCTTGGCTCAATGACTGGGCATTTCTAAATCTCTCTGTGGCTAGCATACATTCTCCTCTCCAACTTTCCTGAGTCAACTTGCTAACATTTCCTCTCTGCTAACCCAGACCCAATCCGGGAGTGGCCCCTTGGACCACTTTCCCAGATCATCTTTCTGCCTCCCTGTCATGGCTATTCTCCAACTCCCCTCTCTCTAGGTCTCTTGCCCACAAAATCTAAAAGTCCCACCCCATTCTCCTTCCCCAGCCAATGGCTGTAAGGCAATTCTTTATTATCAGTCGAAGCCAGCTGGGGGCAGGGTCCTCAGGTCCAGAAGTGTAGCTTTTGGGGAGCAGAAATAAGACAAAGCATTAAAACCAACTATTTAACTTCAAGTCATTTGTTTTGCTGCTCCCAGACATGCCTTCCTCAGAACCCCTCTCCAAGCCAAAGCTGGTCCTTGGCACTAACATATTTTAAAGCTTAGGCCTTTTGCTAGGGCAGTCTCCCAGTTACGATTTAAACTTAACCTGACTATTTTAGCCTACAACAGACCACATGACTAATTCTTTACATCCCTCCTCTGTTCCAGTCCATCTCTGTTCACCTCTGTGTCCACTTTGAATTCTGTCTCATCTGTTTTCCTCCCTTGCATCACTCTCTGTGCCTAGAAATTCCACCCTCATACTTCCTGCCCCAACTATTGACCATCAGATCTTTATTACAACCAGTAATCTCTTACATCTCTTAGATTGATACACCTGATTCATCTCTTAGATTGCCTTTGGGTAGGTAAGGAAGAACAAACATTTACAAATAGAAAAACCTGGTGATGGGCCATAGAAAAGCAATTAACAATACCAGAATCCTACCAGCATTTAGTTCTCTGCTGGTACAGAATCAACAATTGAAAATACAGAGACACATATTAATACAATGTAAGGAAGTTCACACCAACCTGTTCTCATTACTACTTTGGCTTTTCTTTTCTTTCTTTCTTTCTTTCTTTCTTCCTTTTTTTTTTTTTTTTTTTTTTTGTCAGGCAGGTATTCTTATTGGTGGAAGTTTTTCAGCTTGGCTAAGGTTCTTTTGTTTAGGTCATTAACCCTTTCAGAAAATCCCTATACTTGACTTAATTCTGTATCTGATGTTCACAATGTACACTACCTTGTGCACAAGAGAAGTTCCAGACATCTTAGGAGATTCTCTCCCACCTTAGTCCTGGTATAGGGACTTTGGCCTACACAGGCCCCGCTTTTAGGTTCTGATTCAGAAAATGACCACATAGGCTACTCCTTCCCAATAGGCTGTGCTGGGATACTAGTTAAGCATTCTTGCTGGGAGCCAGCTACCTGTTCATCCCAAAAAACATGCATTAAGTTCATACTGAAGATCTTCACCTACTATGCTGAGTTCACCCCACAGGAACGTAAAAGGAACAGAAAAGGCATTCCACAAAGAACCAAAGGCGGAAGGTGGAAAACAGTGAGGGAAGTCTCAAGGAAAGGTCTGGTGCCCCTGGGTCGGAATACAGATCTGTGGAGCGGGTGGCTGCTGTGTTGCACTAGAGTGTGTAGGGTCCTGGGTTTCCATTATCCAGAAGCCTGCCATTCTAACCACACTTTAAAGAAGAGGATGCTGCCAGGTCTATTCTGGAGTGGGCAGGGGTGGTTGTGAGCTACCACAGAGGGAATCTGCCAGGAGCGCAGTCCACTGCTGAGTAAGATTGCTCGCCCAGACGCGAACCAAGGAGCTGGGACCAACTAACATAGCCTCGTATGTTCCCTACCCACCTTTCCTTAAGTCCCATTAGCCATCAGCTACGCTTAGTATAGGGCTTAGTAGCAAGAAAGATAGATGCCAGTTCTTTCGCTGCCTCTGTGCCCGCAGCCCCAAATCAGAAGCTAGGCACTGCTAAAATGCAAGAAAAACTCCAGGAAGATCTGAGCTCATCAAGAAAACCCAAGCCGCTCATCTCTCAAGGAGAGGCTCGGCGCACGCTGGGACTTGTAGTCGGCAGAGGACAGTCTCCCGGATGCACGCTGGGACTGGTAGTCCGTTGCGCGGGCTCGCCCCTCACCTGGCCAGGGCGGGTGCCGCAGGGCCAATGGGAGCGGTGCCGGCCCGGCCTGTCCCGCCCTGCGCCTCCGGACGTCTGTGCCGGGACATGGCCGCTGCGGATGCCGGGTCCTTGAGCTGATCGCCTGCTGCGGGAGCCAACCTCTGCTTTCAACCGTCTGTACGGGCTGGGCCCAGGCGCTGGGACGGCGAAGATCCGCGGAGGAAGCTGAGGCTGCCATAGGACGCCGCCGCGGCGGGCGCATGGCGTCCATCTTGCTCAGGAGCTGCCGCGGCCGGGGGCCTGCCCGCCTCGCGCCGCCCCGGGCCGCCTCCCCTCGGGGTAAGCGGGAGCCGCGCACCCGACCTGTTGTGGGCGACCAAGCGCCCGCGCGGGACCCTCCCTCCCTGTGCCCCGAGGCAGCGCGACGATGACAAGCACTGGGCGGCTCTGTGCCGCCTAGGCTGGGCAGCTTCTCTGTGACCTTAGTTGCCCTGGTCACCGCAGGTCACTGCTACCGACAGAGGCGCTGAGAAAGTTCCTTAGGGCCTTGGCTTCCCTGACGCTCCCTTCGATGATGAACAGAGCCCTGCCGTGCCCTTTGGCCAGTTCAGGCTTGGAAGCCGGAACTCTGGGACAAGGAGATTGGGTTGTGGTTGATGCCAGCATAGTTGGCCGCTCCCTGGGGTGGGGTGGCCGATGACCCGTGCTTCCCAAGGAAACTTGTATGTGTCCTGTTTGTAAGTTACAGTAAAGATGACTTAACCTGTGAGAGTGGGACCCAAGACCTTGTGGTTTCCTGGCAGAAGTACAGTTCTTGTCACCTTAACAATATTGGAGAGCCAGATATGATGCGTAGCCAGGCGTGGTAGCACATGCCTTTAAACCCCAGCACCCTGGAAGTAGAGGCATGTGGATCTCTGAATTCCAGACCATTTAGAATTTCAGGCCAGGCAGGGCACAAGACCCTGTCTAAGAAACAAACAACAAAACCAGTTATGGTGAATGGAAAGAGCAAAGTATCCTTGGATTTGGTGTGGGTTTCCAAACTGTCTCTGCCATAAGAGCTGTCTACCTGTTGACTTGTTCAGGATACCATTTAGTACTTCTGCCCTTTCTTATTTCTGTGGCATGTTTATGGCTTTAAAACTAGCTGATATTGTGTGTGTTTGTGTTATTATTCCAGGCACAAGAATGTTTTCTGTAATTAACCCAGTTCCTTTTGAACAAAAATACTGCTTCCCTGACAGTGGTTTTGTCAGCTGGTTAGATGTGGAACTAACAGGGCAGTCCTGGGTAGCAAGTCCCTGTACTCCCTGTAATGATGTGCTGGCAGAGGCAACAGGCATAGGATGAACGTCCTAATTTTTTCCTCATAGTGGATAAATTGAGGCCAACATTGTATCAGAATGTTCTTTATTCTTGAGTACTTACCTTATTCTTTACTTTTGTGTGACATACTTTATTTTCTGATCTTCTCATTATCTTCTTCCATGACACCACATTACATTAGTCCTTTTGGCTCTTCAAGTTGTAACCGTTTCTCAGAATTTGTTTGTTTTCCATGACCTTAACAGTTTTGAGGAGTACTTAGGTCAGGTGTGTTGTAAGATTTTTCTTTTGGTGTTCTGCTGCTGAGTACTGGAGAGGTTTTAAATGCTTTGCTCATCACATGTGGCCAAGGCTCCACAGTTACATTGTTGATGCTGAGTTGACCTGGTTCCCTAGCAGAAGAGTGCCTGTCAGGTGTCCGCTGTGAAGATCCTTTCCTTCCCCTTTCTGTGCGGTTCCTCTGTGAAAGGAAGATACTTGGTATGTAGAAGTGAGACTGAATGATCCTTGAGTGTGTGGGAGAGAAGCCAGTTCAGAGGCCACAGTGCCATTTTGTAAACCTGTGAGGACTAGTCAAGGCTCAGGAAAACAAAAGCTGCTCCCACTGCTTGGAGTGAGACAAGTTTCTGCAGTTCTTGACAGCTACAAGGTGCACCAGACCTGGAGGCTTTGCATGAATGTCAGGGAGGAAGTAAAGGTCTCCTGAAGGCCAGGTAAATCAGGGAGGTTCGTTTAGTGTTTTTCACTGGGCCTGACACTGAGCTCCTGCAGCTTTCTGGGTGATTTGGTATCAGTGGGTTTGTTATTCACAAGGAGCCCTTTCTACCCCACCCGAGAAGAGAAGTGGGTCTAAATAGGTGCCTGCAAGGAGGTGGAGAGTACAGAGTGGTCAGTGGGCCAGAGGACAGAAGCTAGGTTGTTCAGGACTCTCCCAGTCATGTCCCACGTCTCTTCTGGCTACTCACTTCTGTCCTTTGTGATACTGTGACTTTGCTGGGTCCTGTGAATTGTTCTAGCAAATTATCAAAACCACGAGCATATTAACCCTTCACATTTATTACTTTATTTTAGATTTCAAAAATTTAAGCATTCTTGTGTGTTTATGTGGGCATGTGTACTCTATGTATGCAGATGCTCATGGAAGTCAGAGGAGCTCAGAATTGGAGTACAGGCTATTATGAACCAGCTAATATGAATACTGGGAACTGAACCCATGTCCTCTGCAAGAGTAGCAAGTACTTTTAACTGCTGAGCTATCTCTTCATCCCAAACCCTAAGTTTACAGAGAGCAGAACTGCAGACAGTCTGAGCAGCTATAGTGGAATATAGACCTGTGAGCCTATCACCCTGCATGGCATCGGTGGTGGAGCAGGGACAGCCTTCAGATGTTATTTGGGGGAGAACCCAGGAAGGGAACTGGTAGGGCAGAAACTTCAAAATAAGATCTACCCAGGCTATCTTCTGGGTGCTATGGGATGTTTCTGAGCCAAATCCTATAGAAGTAGGGTTGGAAGGGGCAGAGAGGAAGTTCTGGATCTCTTTGGATTAAGAGGAATCTGGAAAAGTTTGTGTGCCCCAGGGTGTGTACTTAAAATGTAACACTTGATGCTTATGCTTGTAAGAATGTAGCTGAGGGCCAGCTAGAGGCTCAGGTTCTTGTTTTCAGACCTGAAAATCCTAGGACCCTTATGGTGGAAGGAGAGAACCAAATCTTGGGAGTTGTCCTCTAACCTCTGAATGAGTGTATATACAATAAATAAATGCAAAGTAAAATTTAAAAACAGTTGATTTTTATATTTAAATAAAAAACATGTAGCCAATATCAATTGTTTAAGGTGGTAAAGAAGCAACCAGAGTTTTCCCAATGCTATCAGACCCTAAATGTGACCTCTTTCCCCATAGAGCCAGAAGAGTTCCCCCCTGACATAAAATGGTAAATGAATGCCTTTACTGCTGCTCCCACTGCTTGGAGGATTGGGGCAGGATGTCACCTATTGCCTTGTTGGCCCCTGCTATTGTCTGAAATCTACATGGGCCATGTGGCCCCTTTGAACATGGTACCTCTGATCCCCACTGTGCAGGAACTCCTGCCTTACATAGCAGTGTTGTGAATAAACTCTCAGCTTCATGTGTTAGGAGAATTAGAGTGGATTAGGGAAAGCATTGAAAGTGTATTTCATCCCTAGTGTTTTCCAGACGTGGCCTCTTTTAAAGTTTTTGCTTTAATTAGTGTGTCTGTGTGTGTGTGTGTGTGTGTGTGTGTGTGTGTGTGTCTGTCTGTCTGTCTGTCTGTCTGGATGTGCCATGGCATGCTTATGGAGGTCAGAAAACAACTTGTTGGAAGTTATTTCCCCTACCATGAGGACCCTGAGCATGAACCCTGGTCTTGGTGGCAAGTGCTTTTATCCACTGAGCCATCTTGCTGGTCCTGTAGAGGCTTCTTAGCATTTGTTAGTTCTCGGCCCTTGTCCCTTGGAATTGAGTTTTGGTCTGTAGGACTATCTATTTGTTAGAAGTCAGTGTGCCCTTGCCCCTGCCTACCAACAACTAGTTGGTTGGAAGGGCCTTACATTGGGAGAAACCCACATGCCTTCAGTGCTCCTCCCTGGGGCTCAGCCTGAGACCCATTTTCCAAACTAGGGAGGTTAGATGCTCTGTTCACCACGCTCCGGAGCCCTCCATCATTCACAACAGTCCTCCAGAAACTTCCTGGTTGGGGCTCCATTCACACCTTCGAAGATGCCTGTTTGACACCTGTTTGCTTACCTTTTCTTTGTTTCTGTCGTAGGTAGTCTGAGGGATCGAGCTTGTCTCAGTTGTATGAGGACCGTGGGGTTGACGAGCCATGAGTAAGTAAGCCCATGACCGAATATGTCACTGTACATGTCTGCTGGAGGCTGCAGGCCATGCACCTGGACTTTGTCAGGGAACTGATGGCTTCTTCCTCCTTATTCCTTGGTTTTGTTTCTTTTAAATCCCCCTCTGTTTATTTTGATGGTTATAACCATAAGAGTTAGTACTCATAACGCCAGTAGCAGTTATGCACACTCCTGACTTTTTGGTGTACTTTTGGTTGTTGTTTTTGCATTGGTTTGGATTTTTGTTTGGTGAAACAGAGTCTCCATATATAGTATCTGTAGCTTAGATTGGCCTTGAATTTTTGACAGCTCTCCTGCTTAGCCTTCCAGTTACTGGATTTACACATGTACTCCAACACACCTGCCTGATACTTTTATTTATGTAGCTGGGTTTAGTGTAGTCATTATCACTATAGTTTTGTCTGTTCAGAATGGCTAATCTTCTGTGCTCACACACCTGTTATCTTTATTGGCTTTCCATAGACTCTTGCCTAATTCCTTTCAGCTGTTTGTGGCAGCATTCAGACAGCTGGGAACCTGTTTGTGACCAGGCAGACCTTTCCTTGAATACTTTGCTCCTTCAAGGGTACCTGCCTCAGGGATGTTCACACCATGCCCCTCCCCTCACTCTGGATGGTGTATTTAGCCCATAGGATGATAGACTGTGCCTATGAGGTGGTGACAGCATCTCACATGAGGCTTTAGTGGCATTGCAAGGCCAGTGTCATGGAGCTTCTTGAAGAAAATGGCACCCACACTTCCTGTTATATGTAGTCTTGGACTTCCACCAGAGTTGCTGTGCTTCTTGCACTGTGTCCTGCACCCTGAGCCTCTACCTCAGCTCTTAACCAGAAGGGTAGGGCCAGGAGATACCGTCTGCTATCAGCTCAGATTACTAAAGGAGGTTCACTTCCTGCTTCCATATCCCTGTCTCTTTCTCTGCAGAGCAGGAAACCAGTGCTGCTTTCTGTGCACTTCCCTGTCTCCCCAGCTCCTCATCTCTAGAGATTTTGTGTTCACTTAAAGCTGTTAAGTAATTACTTGGCTCTGCATCATAAGCAGTGCTGCTTCTTGATACAGATTTAATTCCCTAAAGACAAGTCAGAGGGCTGGAAAGATGGCTCCGTGGTTAATTTAAAAAAATTATTTTCAGTGCTGGGAATCAAAACCAAGGCCTTGTACTGCCAGGCAGGTGTTCTCCGTCTCTGGGCCTTGTTTGGTGTGAGACAGCCTCACTATGTGGTCCAGGCTAGTGCTAAAGTCAGCTCTGCCTCCCAGTCCTAGGGTTATAGATGTGTGCCACCATGCCCAGCTTTAACTTTTCTCTTTTACGTTAAGTATTTTAGACATTTGCTTTAAGCTAACAGTAATAACTATGAAGTTCTGTTGAGCAACTTACACACTTTAAGTCAACACTTATGGATGAGCAGCGAAAACTTCCATTTTAGCTATGCAGTGTAAGGAGTCTGTGTGCATATGGTAATGTGCTCGTGAGTAAGCACGTGTATGTGGGTGCTAGTATGTGCATGTAGAAGCCACAGGATAACATGGGCTGCCTTCCTTGATCATGCTCCACCTTATTTTTTGAGACAGATTTCTCAGTGAATGTGGAGTTCATTGATTTTGCTAGTCTGGCAGGCCAGGGAGCATAGTTGTCACCTGTGTCCGTCTCCCTCATACTAGGATTACAGGTGCACACTGTGGTACCCAGCTATGACATGGCTACTGGGGATCCAAAGCCAGCTTCTCACGATTTACCAACTGAGCCACCTCTCTAACCCATGCAGGAATTCTTGCATCCTGGAGCTACAGAGATGGCTCATTGGTTAAGAGTATTGCTGTTCTTGCAGAGAACTCAAGTTCCATTCCCACACAACCATCTGTAGCTCCATTTCATAGGTTCCAGTGCTCTCCCTGTCTTCTGTGGCCACCTAACATGCACATGATACATAAACATGCAAGCATATATTGCACATAAATGAATCTTAAAAGGATTCCTATGTTTAATTCACAGAACCCTCAGAAATGTTTTTGTTGTTTTATTAAAAAGAAAGAAATCTTGAGTCCTGGAGGTGACTTGTAATGGGAAGGTACACATTGGAATTGGGTTATTGTGTTTTTTAGTTTGTTTTTGTTTTTGTTTTGTTTTGTTTTGTTTTGTTTTGTTTTTGAGACAGGTCACTTCTTTGTAGCCCTGACTGTCTTAGAACTCACTATGTAAACCAGGCTCGTCTCAAATTTAGAGATTCACCCTCCTCTGCCTCCTGTGTGCTATGATTAAAGGAGTACACTACCATGCCAGCTGGCTGGCTCTATATATGTTTATATTTATATATGTACAGTGTATCTATATATGTGAGTGTGGATGTGCCACGGTGTGAATTTCCAGTCAAAGAAAAGCTTTTGGGAGTTGGTTCTTTTCTTCCACCTTATGGATCCCAGGGATTAAACTTTGGTCTCCAGGTTTAGTAGCAATCACCTTTACTCATTGAGCCTTCTTGCCAGCTCCCAGTATTGGTTCTTCAGTGTGTGTGTGTGTGTGTGTGTGTGTGTGTGTGTGTGTGTGTACATAATGCAGGCGTGGAGGTCAGAGGACAACTTGGTGTGATTTGGATCTTTCCTTCCACCATGTAGATCTCAGAGGTGAGCTTAGGTCATTAGACTAGTTAGCAAGTGGCTGTGTCTGCTGAGCCATCTAACCTACACCACATTTAGTGCTCAGAGGAGCAAAATTTGCTCTGGGAAATTATACCATATTAATGGGTATCCCTGGAGAGCATAAGCCCAACATATGACCTCTAAGCTCAGAATCTCATGTCATGAGCTAGAACCAGGTACTAAGGATTCTACTATACTTTACTGTTTTGTTTGTTTGTTTGTTTGTTTGTTTTTCCTGTGTTGTCTAGTTCCTCAGCCAGGAAGCAAGTGTAGTCTGATGTGGTATAACCACAGGCCTCTAAGTAGACTTGTCTGCACTTCTGGAATCATCTTGTGATTTTGGAGATTTACTCTGTTAAAATTATAACTCTGTTCTTTCCTTTTTGCTGAGGATCACTTGATTCCTTGACATCACTTTCCTGAAGAACAGAGTGACTTTTCCTGGTTGGTGTTTTTTCTAACTAGATCTCTCCTTTGTCTGTTAGCTTGTTTGTGCCTTTCTAGGGGTAGCCTTTGGTTGGAGGCTCTGGGGTGGCTCAAGGGAGTTATTCTCGTGGGAATGGCCTGTGGGCATACCTCTGACATTTGTATAATGTTGGTGAGAGTTAGAAACACTGACAGCAGGAAAGATATCCGTGTCCTCCCCCTTCACACCACCCACTTTGTGTGTGTGTGTGTGTGTGTGTGTGTGTATGTCAGTTTGTGTGCCCCATTCCTGTTCTTGCCTCCCAGATAGCTGAGAATATGTAGCTGATAGCATAAGGATCATGCACACTACTCCTTTGTAAGGTTCTCCTTAGTCTTTCTGATCCTAACACGAAGGCTGGATATTCAGGGTGGCAGGATATAGGCTCAGGACCCTTATATAAATGATCAGCCTTGCTAAGATTCCTAGCTTCGTAATGTGGGTGGGTGCTATGTGCTAGTGGTTAACCATGTGGGTGGGTGCTATGTGCTAGTGGTTAACCACCCTGATGAGTGTGTGTGTGTGTGTCTGTCTGTCTGTCTGTCTGTCTCTCTCTCTCTCTCTCAGCATTTGTTTATTTATTTTGAGGGCAGGGACATATATATGGGTGAACCTATGCTATGGTGCATATGTGGAGATCAAGGACAAACTGTGGATGTCAGTTCTCTCTTCTATCGTGTGGACCTCTGAGGGATTGAACTAAGGTCATAAGACTTGATGACAGGCACCCTTACTCACTAAGCCATCTTGCAAGCTCCAGCAGTTGAAATACTGCATTTGGTTGGTGCTCTTTCACTCCATTTGGCAATTGATTTTCAAAAGGGAAAGGCAAAAACCCGAGGATGGAAGCTGGGCCCATAGTCTGGCCCCTGCACTAGTACTAGTTCAACACCAGCAGCACCGACATTAGGTCCGCATCAGTAGAAATGTAAGAATATTATTATATAATTTGGCCTGAGGTGGAGCTTAGTGTTCAGCACTTGTCCTAGCCTGTGGGAGGCCCTGGGTTCTATTCTTAGGACTGACAAACAAACAATAAAACCACTGTTTGAAATGGCAAAACATTATGTGTGAATTATAGTTAGGAGCCTGTCTGAGGCGACAGTGATGATAGCTCAATGGTGCAACCCTGATTCCAAGCCTGTTGACCTGAGTTTGACACCTCAGAGTGATGGAAGGATGGACTCCTCCAGATTGTCCCAACCCTCCCCCAACAACAACAAAAAACTCTCTGAGTTTAAGAAGAGCCAGATCTTGACCCAGCCCTTACCCAGAGTGCTGTGTTTCCTGCTTCATCTCTGTATGTGTCTTTGCCTTGGCCTGTTGGTCCTTATACCTGCAGTTATCAAGCCTTCTGTGGAAGCCACACTCTTCCTCACTGAGGATAGGAAATTGACATTTAAGCTTGATGATACACTTGTCCCATGTGCAGAACTGTCTTCCCCTATATTTGGAGGTGAGGCCAAGATAAGGTAGGAAATAAGCCCTTCATCTCTCTGTTGGTAAGTAGCTAAGTGGTACTCTGGATCTGGTTGGACTCTGTCTTGCTCCATGTGGCCTCACCCTGAGTAATGTAACACTGTGGTTCAGGACAGAGTTGACTCAGGCTCTTCACAGCCCCAAGATTGCAGAGCCAAGGAAATCCAGAGGTGTGGTGCTGTGGAGCTGGGTGGGGCTTGGAAAGAGATTGACAGCACTTTACAGGATCCCCGGGGAGAGAGATGAAGAAAGCTGGCTTACACACTCACAGACACTTTCTCGTGGTCTTCAGTGGTCCACAGACATGTCTGTACCACTCTTCTCTGCTCACTGTAAGGTCAATGTGGGCTTGTGATCTGTGACAGAGGACAGAGTTGGAGTTTGGAGAGTGCTGTAATCAAAAATGGCACCAGAGCTGAGCCTAGCCGCTGAAGCTTTGGAGCCCAGTGAGTCCTATACTTGGGTTCTTTGTGGGCTGATAGTACTCTGTCCCAGCTTTTACTGGACACCATACACTGTGAGCTGAGGCTGTGTATACCGTTGCTCTTAAATGAACCCACCAATGAGGGACTGGCTCTGGAAAGTCATGCCTTGCTTCCCATTGCTTTGATAGGCCCATCATTGTTGGTTCCCTTTGTGGTAGGTGTATTTTAATATGAGATTACAAAGGAAGCTCCTAAAGCACAGAAAGGTCAAGTTATGAGGTTATTGCAGTTACAGCAAGTGGACCAACGCGCGCGCATGTTTGTGTGTGTGTGTGTGTGTGTGTGTGTGTGTGTGTGTGTGTGTGTGGTGTTGTTACTTGAGATACAGGTTTTACTAAGCCAATACTGACTCACTAAATTGCTCTGTAGCCCAGGGTGTTATTGTGTGTAGCAGAGATGCATGTTGTGGCGCCAAGATAGAAATAGAGAACAGTTTACTTACAGGAGTTGGTTTTCTCTTACCTGTGCGCGCCCCAGGGGTCTAACTGAGGGCATCAGGCTTGGCAGCAGTCGTATTTATTCACTGAGCCATTTCACAGCCCAGAGCTGCAGCTTTTGATCCTAGACAATCTTCTTCAGAGCTCCAGTCCTCATAGAGGAATCTAGCTAAGTGCTAGAGGCAGAAAAAGGGGGTTGTGGGAACCCACAGCAGGTCTCCAGAGTGAGTTTGGAGTTTGTGGCCACCTAGAGATGGATGTGTAAATCACTGGTAGGGAGAGGTTTCTAATGTACATTTTAAACCTCAAGGAGGGTTGTACATATCAGTTGTTTCATGTCAGATGGTAAGCTCAGTACTGACCCTGGCTCCGTATGGGCTCTGGAAATGCTCTTGTTGTATATAAACTCTCAGCTCCTGGTTAATCAGGCATGATCCCCGCTGTAATTGGCCTTATTTATAGACACGTTGTGAGTGGGCACTACTTGGGTTCCAGGCAGCCCTGTGAGCCTGACCAGTGTGGTCAGAGAAGTCTAAAGTTCTCAGCTAACAGCTTCTGTCTGTGGCCTCACCTTTCTAAGGGCCATTATTCTGGTGAAGAGGTATAGGCCTGATGGCGTATGTGCCTCTCATCCCTCTGTGGCAGGTGTTGGGTAATTCGTGCCTCAAAGAGTATGCTAAGGGAGAAATGGACAGAGGTGTGGACTCTTCTTTGGGATTTCCCCTTTGTTCTAGTGCCTTCTGTCAACCAAGAGTCACTGGTTGAGGGAGACAATCCAAACTGGACAAACTCTTGACTCTGCACCCCATATCCTCAAACCCAAAGTCATGAATATCACTTCCTACATCTGGTGCCAGGGCTTAGTAGTGTCCAGTCAAGCTCTGCTGTGAGTACATGTCCACACTACTGATGTGTGTCTTTGGGGTCTTAGGAGTTGAGCCAGTGAGGCTCAGGTCCTAGCTTCACATGGAAGCCCTCCCAAAGGCTCCCTTCAAGGAAGGTAGTTACATACTTCAATCCTCCATGAAGGTTTATGTTTTGTGCTAAGTGGTCAGATAGGTAGGAATTTCTCATTGCTGCTTTTGTTTTTTTCCTTTTCAAGGAGTGTTCTGTCTCGCTGTTGTACTCCAGCCCACCCTGTGTACCTCTGCTTCAAAGGTGAGCCCCTCAGCTGTTGGACTCAGAGGCCTGAGTGCCAGGGCACCGTGGCAAGGGCAACATGGACACCTGCCTCTGCAAGGTTGGTTGTTACAGGACCTCAGTACCTTCCTGTGCGCAGCTGGCACTCATCATCCCCACTAGGAGAGGACTCTGTGATAGAGAAGTCCCTTAAGTCCTTAAAGGACAAGAATAAGAAGCTGGAAGAGGGTGGCCCCGTATACAGCCCGCCAGCTCAGGTGACAGTGAAGAAGTCTCTGGGGCAGAAGGTACTGGACGAGCTGAAGCACTACTACCATGGCTTCCGCCTGCTCTGGATCGACACCAAGATTGCTGCCCGCATGCTGTGGCGCATCCTCAATGGCCATACGCTGACCCGCCGGGAGCGCAGGCAGGTATGGGACACACCAGATGCTTTTTTTTTCCTGCTGCAGGTTATTTTCTACTCCTTTGGATAAAATGTCAGTAAAAGTTTATGGAAACGTAAGCCTGTCTCATGCTACAAGTGAGTTGTAATGCCAGTGCTGACACACTATTCCTCCCGTGGTGATTCCTGCAGCCTTGGATCTCTGTTTCCGCCTCTAGTGTGTTTTCAGAGACACTGTCCCTCTGGGGAAGTTTCTTAAAGTTATTTCTTTGGCTCTGTGGGCCTAGTATATAATTCCTTCTGTCCTTAAGCTATGAAAAGACTCCTCCTGGGGCTAGAGATATGGCTCACTCATTAAATTAAAAGCACTTGCTGTTTTTTCAGAGGGCCTGGGTTCAATTCCCAGCACTTAGATATTGGCTTACAATTGTACTGTGTAATACCAGTTTCAGGAAATCCCATACCTTCTTCGGGCCTTGCAAACCAGGCACAAATGCAGGTAAAACATTTATATACAGAAAATAAAATAAATTATAAAAAGGCAGGGGTTGGGGTAGGGGAGTCTTAAGCCAAGTACATGGTGGCTGTGCCTGTGTCCTGGCCACCTAGGAGCCTACAACTCAAAGATCTCAAGCTAGCCTAGGTGACCCAGTGAGACCTCATTTCAATCTCTAGGGGCTGCTGCTATTGTTTTCCTTCTGTTGTCAGCTGAAGTGTCAGTTCCAGCCTGACAGCTGGGCTGTTTGTTCTGTGTATCTGATTTTACCTCTGGAAGTTATGCTGGTGTGTGTGCCTGTGTGTGTGTTACCATCAGTTTATTTGGTTTTTCTTGGTAGGACCTTTGTCCTTTTTTTAGTTTTTAGTTCTTCCTTTAAGTCTTTTCTTTTCTTTCTTTAAAAAAAAAAAAAAAAAAAAAAAAAAACCAATAAGCATTTGGCCTTATAGCTCGGCATTGTCTCCCACCTGTTCATAACTCAGTTATCCCCTTTATACTAATTTAAGTTCAGCCACATGGCTAGTTAGCTACCTCTCCTTCCTTCTTGGCCTGCTTCTTCTTCAGTATCTGTCTGGCTCAATCTTCTGCACCTGGCTCCTTCCCAGAATTCCTCCCTCTGTCTGAAAGTCGAACCATACTATTCTGCCTTTTGCTATAGGTAGAGTTTTTATTTTAGCCAATCAGAAGGTGTCTTAGGCAGGCAAGGAAGGACAGAGACACATCTTCACACTGTACAAAAAACATCACTCCAACAAGATAACTTTAGATTTATAGAGAAATCTTAGAGATACTACTGTGCTTGGACCCCTCCACCTCAGTCCCCCGTTTCATAATGGTCATGGCTTAGCTCCCTACTCTGCTAAACTCTAGACTTGATTCAGTTTTCAAGCTTTCTCACTGATAATCTTTTCCTGGTCCAGGACCTCACCTTGAGGCTGCCACTGCTTTGTGAGTAGCACTAGCTGTGTCCTGAATACCAGTCCCTCTGGGGGCTTATTTAGCATTGTATGCTACTCAGGCAGGTGACTCCTAATACCTCCTAGAGTGGGACATCACAAGGCATTTGGGCCAGATAGCTTTGCCTCCCTTGTAGGGCACAGAAACCCCATCTACAGCTGATGTCCTTACACCTATGTACACCTGGTCTGGGCTTCTGCCCTCCCTGCCCCCCCTACACACTGCTCACTGTACTCCTGCTAGTTTTCGATGTGCAGTCTCAGGGCCAGAATGCATGTCCAGAACAAGCTCTGGTCCTCCCCCACCCACCCTTCTCTCTGAGAAGCCTCTACTGCCGTCAACCCAGCATAACAGACAACCCTTGCAAGTGCTCAGGCTCAAGCTGTGGCAGCCCTCGGAACCTGTATTCCTCCAGGGTGCCTAGCAGCCACCAGACTCTCAATAGAACCCAGGTCCAAGTGTTTCATACTTCCTACCCTTCTTGCCCTGCATTGTGGGCAGAGGGGCCACTTGTCTGTACCCTAGGAGCAGTCCTTTTAAAGAAGTAAGGTATATATGTACTTGGGGGATCTTCTTCCCAGATGAAGGCAACCTCTAAGCAGCAGTCTGACCACATGCTCCAGCCTTGGCCTGACCTTACTTTCTCATCCCAGTGTGTTTTGTACTGTTCACAAACCTACTCCATTTCCTGCTGATACCTTTGCAGTAGGTAGGCTGAGGACCCTTCAATGGCAGTGCACCCATGCTTGTGTATTTATTATACCCTGGTTGACACTTGCAGATGCCTGCTAAACCTGCATAAATTGGAAGTGGTAGTCCAGGTGTGGTACTGCACACACCTTTAATCTCAGTACTCGGGAGGCAGAGACAAGAGGTTCTCTGTGAGTTCAAGGCCAGCCTAGTTTACATAATGAGTTCCAGGCCATCAAGGGCTACATAGTGAGATACAATTAACAAAAATCTAACAAATGAAAAAAGAAAGAACCTAGAAGTGGTTGATGCCATAACACATGTGGGCAGTTATTGTATCTGTCTTCTGTGTATATTTGAAATGGGGGGAGATGCTGTCACTGAGTTCTCATGAGCATGGTAAACCATCCCCGTGGGAGCTTAAGACACACCAGCTCTCCTACAAGAGTATGAGACCTCCACTCTTCTGGGTATGAAAATTTGGATGGTACTCCTGCCATACTCCTTATTAAGGTGAGAGCCTAAGTAAGGCTTTGGGGCTGGAGAAATGACTCAGGGGGAAGAGGGTTTGTTGCTCTTCCAGAGAACCTAAGTTCAGGTCCCAGCACCAGTACCAGGCAGCAGCTGTCTCACAGCCACCCGTGATTCCTGCTCTGGGGACCCCTACACCTACTTCTGGCCTCTTAAAGCCTGTACTCATATGTATGTTTTCACATGCACACACACAACTAAATAACTGAACATATGTGTGTATATGGTTTTGGTTTCTCCGTCCTTACAGCTCTAGGTCGCTTGTCCACTGACACTTTGCATGCCATAAACAACTGGCTTGGAGGGCTGAGTGTGTTGGTGGTAAAGCATGTGTTCAATGTATATACAGGAGTCCTTGGGCTCTTTCCTGGCACACACAGAGAGAAAAGGAAAATTAGCTTCTTGATTTGCTTTTGCATTGAAGTCCATCTATACATTGATGTACTAGGTTCACTTTTTTTTGGGGGGGGGAGTCTCTTTTAAGATTTTATTTATTTATTTTATGTATACAAGTACACTGTAGCTGTCAGGGCATCGGATCCCATTACAGATGGTTGTAAACCACCCTGTGGTTGCTGGGAATTGAACTCAGGACCTTTGGAAGAGCAGTCAGTGCTCTTAACTGCTGAGCCACCTCTTCAGCCCCTGGGGTCACATTTTTTAACAATATCAGATATGTGTGTATCTAGTTAGAAAATATTTATTTTTGTTTTATGTGTATGAGTTCTTTGCCTGCATGTGAGTATGTACATGTCTGGTATCTTCAGAGCCCAGAAGTGGGCATCAGATCTCTTAAGACTGGAGATACAGATAGTTGTAAGCTGCCATGTGGATGCTGGGAATTGAATCTGTGTCCTCTACGAGAGCAGCAAGTACTCATAATCAGTGAGCCATCTTGCTAGCCCTGTTTACCTTTGTTTCCTCTTAAGACATGGTTTTACTATGTAGCCAATGCTGTCCTGGAACTTGATGTAAACCAGAATGGCCTCGAACTCATAGTGATCCATCTGTGATCCACCTGTCTCTGTCTCTCATGTGCTGGGACAAAAGGCTGCGCCATTACTCCCAGCTGCCTTTTTTTTTTTTTTCTTTTTTTTTTTTTTGACAAGTTATCACTGTGTAACCCAGGCTGGCTTTGAATTCACAATCTTCTTATTTGTCCTTCCCAGATGCTATACCATCACTATGCCTGGCTCTCCAACCCAAATATATTCTTTATTTTTTTTCCCTTTGTTTGTTTGTTCGTCTGTTTGTTAAGACAGGGTTTCTATGAAATTTTATTCCTTTAATTAATTTTTAAAATATATGTGTTTTGGGACTGGAGAGATGGCTCAGCAGTTAGGAGCACTGGCTGCTCTGCTGAAGGACCCAGGTTCAATTTTCAGTACTACATGACAGCTCACATGTATGTAACTCCAATTTCAGGTGATCTGACACCCTCACACAGGCATGTGTGCAGTCAAAGCACCAATACACATAAAATAAAAATAAATCATAGAAAAAAAGAAAACAATATGTTTTTATGTGTATTATATATACCACATGTGTGCAGGAGCCCAAAAAAGTCAGAAGAAGTTGCCAGTTCCCCTGGAACTAAAGTTGCAAATGGTTGTGATCCACCTGTGTGTGGTAGGAATCAAAGTTGGGTATTCTATAAGAGGAGTAAATGGATGTAATCAATGAGCCATTTCTTCAGTCCCAACCCTTCAATTTATTCTTGAGATAAAGATAGCTGAGGTTGGCCTGGAATTCACAGTCTTGTTTACCCTCTTCAGTACTCAAATAAAAAACCTAGTCAGCTTATATTATTATCATTATCATTATCATTATCATTATCATTATCAGGTGGTATATAAAAGCAAAGATTGATTATTTGCAGGCTGGAGATGGCTCAGAGGACCTGGGTTTGATTCCTAGCACCCACATAGTGATTCACAACCATCTGTAAGTCTGGTCCAGGGGATCTGACACCCTCCTGGCCTTCATTGGCACCAGGTACACATACATCCAGGCAAAACACCCATACACATAGAATTAAATAAATCTAAAACACTTTTTAAATTAAGTACTTATGAATAGTACAGGTATACGTTGTATGATGTCCAATTTTTTGTTTTGTGTTTTTGGTTCAGGATCTTACTGTATATGTAGCCCAGGCTGAATTTGAAATCCTGTCTCAGATTTCTAAGTGTAAGGATTATAGGTGTGTGCTACCACTGTGCCTGGCACTGTCACCCTCTGTTTTAAAGATAACTGTAGAGAGTGATTAAGGTACCAAAGAACAAGGAGTTGTAATTCTATTTTAGTTTTGTTTTGTTTTTTGTTTTGTTTTTTTCTTTTTGGTTTTTCAAGATAAGGTTTCTCTGTGTATTCTTGGTTGTCCCAGAACTCACTCTGTAGACCAGACTACCCTAGAACTTGGAGATTGCCTACCTCTGGCTCCAAATGCTAGAATTAAAGACGTGTACTACCAGTGCCCAGTGTAACTCTCTTTTTATGTTTCTACACACTTAAGGCATTCTTTCTTTTATTGTATGTTTTGTGATGCTAGGGATCAAGCCTAAGGTCTTATTGTGATGGACAAATGCTCTACTATTAAGTTAAATTCCCAACCCAAAAGGGCTTTCCTGTAAATATTTAAAGGCAGCTGATAGATTAAGTCATTGAAAAATGATTAGATTATCAGGGCTGTGATCTAATGCAGTCTAACTCTAGGTGGAGGAATGCCCTTGGTCATTTGGTCTGATCTACCTGGAGGTATGCCCTTGGTGGCTCTATCTTGCTCTGGTTCTTTGTCGTTGCCTCCTGGCTACCTCGATGTGACCTTCCCTGCTCTGCCAATCCATGTGTACCATGATGGACGGCAGCCTCTAAAACCATGAGTAAAGATAAATTCTTCCTTCTGTTAAATTGTTCTCTCAGGTGTTTTAGTCACAGTTATAAGAAAATATATTAATACAGAAAGTTGATACCAGAAACAGAGACATGTATTATTAATCCTGACCCTGCGGTTCTTAAGCCTTTGGAACCTAGTATAAGGAAGAATTTGGACAGAGCTTAATGAGTGATTCTATTGGGAGCTCAGAAGACCAAAATTCTGACAGAAATATGGTCAGTAAAGACCATGTAGTTACTCAGGAGCTAAAGTATTGCTATAAAGGCAGAGTTCAGATTCCTAGCACTTGCATTAAAGCTGGACTTGGTGGTTATAAACCCAACCCTAGGGTTGTGGAGACAGGCAGGACTTGGGGATCACTGATTAGCCAGCATAGCTGAAACAGCAAGCTTCAGGTTCAGAGATAGTCTCTTCAAACGTTAGACAGAGAGCAATAAATGACACCTTATGTCAACTCTGGACCAGTGCACACAGGAGCGCACACACCCACACATGCAAGCACACAAGCGAGCGCATACGCATGCCACTGACATTAATTTTCAGTTGGAAACAGGATTTAATTGAGAATTGGGCTAGAGGCCACTCATGTTCTATTCTGGCAAAGAACTTGTCTAAGTTTCATCTGTGTTTAAAAACTTTGTGGGAGTTTGAGTTTAAAGGTGACAGACTAATTTAGCAGTGGAAATTTCAAGAAAAAAATAGTGAGACTGTGGAATAGTTTATCCCTGGATGTTTTTACCAGATTTATAATGAAGATCAGGAGCAAAAAACTGAGTAAAAAGACTTGAAAAACTTACACTTGGGCCAGAAAACCCAGTAAAAAGTTGGAGCTAAGGATGATTGAGACCATGGGGCTAGAGAGATGTCTCAGTGATGTAGAATACTTGTTGATCTTGCAGAGGACCTGGGCTCAATCTCAGCACCAGATGATGGCTCACAACCTCTCTAACTCCAGTTAGACACCTTCTTTTGACCTCTTTGTGCTCCAGGCACACATGGTATACCTACCTACATACATACATACAAGTAAAACATTCACACACATAAATAAATAATAATTATACATTAATTTATAATGGGAACCATTAAAAAACAAGCGAGTATTAAGATGTTAGGGCATTTAAGAAATTGTCCAGACCATGGCCTGGACTCCATTATGGAAAATTAAAAACTCATTTGAAGAATTTCACAGGCCCCCTACTTGCAAGGGGTGGTCCAAGACTTCTTTCAAAGATTGTTATCTTGTCTAAATTGTCCTCTTTTGAGCCTGTCTTGTTTATTTCTACATGTGCCCTGTGCATCTGGTGACCTGTAAGTTAGCACCTGTCTCTTATTATTGAAGGCCATTGGCATGCAGCTTAGATTCTGAGAGAGAAATGGGTTTCTGAAGTATCTGCCAAGAGCTCTCGAGTCACTGCACCCTGTAGCTCAGTTTGTAATGAGGGTGGGAGAAATACCCTGCCTGCTCTGTCGCTGCTCATGGATACACATCTTTGCAGTTTCTCCGAATTTGTGCGGACCTCTTCCGTCTAGTGCCCTTCCTGGTGTTCGTCGTGGTACCCTTCATGGAGTTCCTGCTGCCTGTGGTTGTGAAGCTCTTCCCCAACATGCTACCCTCCACGTTTGAGACCCAGTCCATCAAGGTGAGGGTGCTGGGGAGATGGCAACGCAGGTAGAGAAAGCACTTACAGGAAAGCACAAGGTCTTGAACTTAAATCTCTGCAACCATGTAGAAACCAGGTGGGGTAGTGCATCGGTAACCTCGTTGCTCCTGTGGCAAAATGTAAGGTGGAGGCAGGACGATTCCCAAAAGATGGTATGTCAGCTAGTCACAAACAACAAAGAAGAAATCCTGTCTCAGACAGGTAGATGGTAAGGAACAAGAGTCCTCTGATCCATACCCAGTGTCCGTACTCACGTAAGTCAACACACACACACACACACACCAAATAGAAAAAAAAATGAGTCTAAAGTTCCATCCAGACCTCCACACACTGTTTCATATGTATCAATTCATTCTCCTGTGAAGCACTAGCTGAGTCAAGTGATTGGATCAGACCAAACGACCCCAAGGGCCTCAAAGCCTCACTGTCTGGCCCCTTATAAAACAAGTTTACCAACTTCTGCTATTGAAGTAGGGTTAAGGATTCACACAGACTTTTTTTTTTAGAGCCATGAAATAGAGTTTGAGTATATCATACTTAGATTTTGTTCCTTGAATGGTATGGGATGTGGAAGACTCTGGCAGTGGGCAGCAGTCTGCGCGGGCTTGGGGATTACTTTCTATGGTAGAGACGGGGAGTGGTGGGGTGCAGAAGGTCAGCGTAGGACTGGAGTATAACCTTCACTTTGCTCTCGTAGGAGGAAAGGCTGAAGAAGGAGCTTAGGGTGAAGCTGGAGCTAGCCAAGTTTCTCCAGGACACCATAGAGGAAATGGCCCTGAAGAACAAGGCAGCCAAAGGGAATGCCACCAAAGATTTCTCTGCATTTTTTCAGAAGGTGCAGTACTCCCTCCCTGTCAGAAGATGATTCAAATGTGAAGCACTATGAGACAGTTCTTCCCTCTTCCTTCAGCCCCACTGCTGCCACCACCACTGCTACCCCCACTGCTGCTGCTCCTCCTCCTCTTTTTCCTCTTCTTCTTCCTTCCTCCTCCATCTTCCTCCTCCTTCTCTTTTCTTCTTCTTCCTCCCCTTCCTCCTCCTCCTCAGCAGACTCAAGCCCCTAGAACAGAGCTTAAGCTCTGCCTACTCCCTGTGCTCAGTCCCTCTCAGGAGCTGTAGGTATATGCAAGTGTGGCCTCTTCCTGCCAGTGTGAAACAGGGGTGTGGCATGAGAGCTCAGGTCACTGCCCCACCGCTCTGATGGAAAAAGAACAACAGAGCTGATCCCACAGCTGGCACTCCAGGCCCCTGGGAGACAGCAGCCCCCAGGCTTCGGCTGCCTGGGGAATGACAGCTCCTGGGAGAGCTTGGTGGGAGGTAGGTGGCCTAGTGCTCTGCATCCATTCTCTCTTGGTTCCTTTCAGTGGGGACCAGAGGTTAGCTGTGGGAACAGGAGAATGCATAGTTTGAACCTACTGAGTAATACTCGGGATTACTTCTGCAGATCCGGGAGACAGGGGAGAGACCCAGCAATGAGGAAATCATGCGTTTTTCCAAATTGTTTGAGGATGAGCTGACCCTGGATAACCTCACGAGGCCTCAGCTGGTAGCACTGTGCAAGCTGCTGGAGCTTCAGTCTATTGGCACCAACAACTTCCTGCGGTTCCAGCTCACCATGCGGCTGAGGTCCATAAAGGCTGATGATAAGGTGAGTTGGGCCAAAGGTTACCTCTATTGTAGGGTACTGTTCTGGCCACCATGAGGTACCTTCTTGTCTTTGTGTCTTGGTTACGGTGCTCTGTCTTCTCATTTTTCTTTTACATTTTCTTGTCATTCCTTTTTCTTACATAGCTAGGCTGGCCTTGAACTCACTAAGTGACCCAGGCTATCCTCATGTTTTTGTCGATCCTCCTGCCCCATGTTCTTGAGAGCTGGGATTACAAGCATAAACCACCAGACCTCAATTTTGGTTTGGTTTGGTTTGGTTTGGTTTGGTTTGGTTTGGTTTGGTTTGGTTTGGTTTGGTTTGGTTTGGTTTGAGAGAACAGTCTTTGGGATTGAACCCAGAGCCTCACATGATATGTAAGCACCCTAATTCATGAGTTATATCCTCAACCTTCTTTTCCTTTTTTTTAAAGTTGTATTTTATATGTATGAATATTTTGTCTGCATATATCTATGTGTACCATGTGTGTGCCTGGTGCTCCCAGAGATCAGAAGAGGGCACTGGAGGGATGGAACTCGTGTCTGTTGAGACACCTCTCCAGCCTCAATCTATTTTGTTTTTTCCATTTTTTTCTATTTTTCATGTGTGTATGTAGTATTTATGTGTGTTTTATGTTTGCATGTGTCTGAAAAGGGTGAATGTTTGAGTGGGTTCACATGCATCTGGAAGCCCAAGGGAAATGTTAGGAATCATCCTTGGTTGTTCCTCCCTCTCGCTCAGTACAACCGGGTCTTCTAGTCAAAACCATAATTCACCACCATGGCTGATTTCCCAGCCAGTGTGCTGTGAAATCCTGTCTTCCAAGGCTGGGTATCATGTAGCCCAGGTTAGCCAGCAGTTTACTATGTAGTCAAGATTAGCATTTAACTCTTTTAAAACAATTTTAAAATATTTATTTATTTAGTGTGTCTGTGTGTATGCACACAGGCATGGGCATCTCACTTTGTATGTGTGGAGTCAGCTATATTTGCATGAGTCTGTTCTTTTAGTTCTATCCTGTTGGTCTCAGGGGTCATACTCAGGTCATTAAGCTTGGTGGGGGGTGCCATTCTGCTGCCCTGGCCTTCAGCTCTTGTTCCTCTTGCTTCCAGCTTATAAGTGCTAGGAGCTAGGACGGCAAGCATGTCCCAGCACACTTAGCCCCAGCACTCCTTCTTTGCTTTTTATTTTGGTCAGAGTCTCAGTTACCAGCCCAACCTGGAACTTTTAATCTTCCTGCCTCTGCCTCCCAAATCATGGGATTCATTGGTGGACTACCAGGCCTGTTTTGCCCGTCTGCGTTCCTTCCTTCCTTTTCTCTTCTCTTCCCTCCCCTTCCCGTCCGTCCATCCATCCATCCATCCATCCATCCATCTATCTATCTATTTTAAAACAGACAAAGGCTGTCTACTTAGCCCTGACTGTACTGGAACTCACTCTGAATACCAGGCTGACCTCAAAACTAGCTAGGTATACCAGGCTGGCCTTTAATTCACAGAGATAGATCTACCTGCCTCCCCTTTCAGGTGCTGAGATTAAAAGCGTGCATCTCCACACCTGGCCCTGATTTTTCTTTCCAAAACATTTTAATGACAGTTGACATTCAGTATCAAAGGTCGGGGCATGTGGGGGCTTTGTCTTTGCTGTCCTTCTTGGTTTTGTTTGCTTATTTTATTTTTCTGAAATACAGGAACTGACTGTAGTGACCGACATTCTTTCAGGAAGGCCTCACTCAGTGAGCAAGCCCAAGGGTTAGCTACCTCCACCCTTGCCAGGATGGCCTTATGCTGGGAAGCTATCAGAGAGCTAGCAAGGAGGGAGCTAGCAAAGAGCTGACTTCTGTCCTCAGCAGGTAGTAAGGGTCATTAGGGACAAGTGTCTGATGGGGGCAGCAGAGGCCCTGTGGTGTCACTGGGAGCTGTGTGGGAAGCAGTAACAATAACGAGGGCCTTGTGCTCAGGCAGCCAGGGTGTCAGCAGAAGGGAGATGGGGTGCAGACAACCCTGTAGTCGTGCTGGATGTATGTTTACCTTAGGGAATCAGCCAGTGCAAAATGAGGAGTCTATGTCCTCACTTGTTTTAAAATTCAGCCCTTAACTTGTGGGTAGGACCAAGTAAGCAGTGTGGAGAGACACCTCTGTGACTTATAGCAGCTGGGCTACTTAGAACCTCGATGAGGAATAGGATAGAGAACATGAGGAACTAACTGGTGCTATGCCTGTGTTCCTTGTGGAGAAGCAGCCAGGGGATGGTTTTGACTATAGGATGTGAACAGAGAGATCAAGGTTTCTGTTTGGTTGAGAAAACCAGATAACAGAGCAACTATGGTGATTAGCTGCAAAATCATAACTGCAGCGTCTGTAAAAGTGGTACTTACCCCAGCATCTGTAAAAGTGGTACCCAGCCCACCTCAGCATCTGTAAAAGTGGTACCCACCCCACCCCAACATCTGTAAAAGTGGTACCCCAACCCAGCAGTGTCAGAGGCAGCCAGTGAAGCTGAAAGTAGAATTCGATCCAGATTCTTCTGCTGTGTACCCATGTATCTAGGTTTGATTGAAAAATCACCTGTCAGGGCAGAGAGATGACTATCAGTAAGACACTTGCTGTCTTTACAATGAATGTGGGTTTGGTTCCCAGTACTCACATGGTGTGTCTGGTACATCTGTAGCTCCAGTTTCAAGAGATTTTCTTTTCCTTCTTTTTTTTTTCTTTCTTTTTTTGTTTGCTTGTTTTCTTTTTTTTGTTTTTTTGAGACAAACTTTCTCTGTGTGGCCCTGGCTATCCTGGAATTTGCTCTGTAGACCAGATTGGCCTCAAACATAGAGATTCACCTGCCTCTACCTGCCTAGATTAAAGGCATGTGCCACCAACTCCAGGAGTACTCTCTTCTGACCTCTGAAAACTGGAGAGGTTTTGTTCTTGGTTTTAAGGTAGTAGTCTAGCTTTGTTGTTCAAGTCAACATTAAACTCAGATTTCTATAACCACAGGCACACACCATTGACCGAGCTTATGATAGAAGCCTTGAAGCAGATGTTATATAGATGTTTAAACACACTTTACAACTGAACTAAGTGAAATCTCCCTGAGTGCACTAGGGTTTAAAGAGTCACACAGGAGGCCTGGCGATAGGTGCTGCAGGGTGGGAGGGTGGAACAGTGGACAGGAGCTGCCTCTGACAGTGGCAGGCAAAAACTCGGAACACTGAGCAGCACTGCAGCTTGTTCACAGCACAGTGTGCTTATGTTAAAAGGATCCAGAGGAATGGAGAAACGGGGTGGCCAGGACCAAAGAGCCTGGAAGAACTAATGACCTTAAGCTCCACAAATTCAATTGTAATTCATAATGTCACAAATGAGAGGCAGAGTAAGCCGGGCGGTAGTGGCGCATGCCTTTTATCCCAGCGCTTGGGAGGCAGAGGCAGGCGGAGCTCTGAGTTTGAGGCCAGCCTGGTCTACAGAGTGAGTTCCAAGATAGAACTACACAGAAACCCTGTCTCAAAAAAAAAAAAAAGAAGGAAGAAGGAAGGAAAGGAAGGAAGGAAGGAAGGAAGGAAGGAAGGAAGGAAGGGAGGAAGAGAAGAAAAGGAAAAAAAGGGGAATGAACTTTCAAGTGAAACATCTGAAGGAATTCCTACCATGATTCTCCAAACAAAGCTAACAAACACCATAGACACTGTGGAGAACAGCGAGAAGGATGTGTCTCTCTGTAGGACAAGAACACAGGGACAGTGGTTTCCTCAAAGAGACGAAGGAGCCTGGAAAAGCTGGATGACTTTTTCCCTACTGGCTTCTGTTTCCAACCAAAATGTCCCTTAGAAATAGGAACAATGCCTGGCAGTGGTGGCACACTCCTTTAATCCCAACACTTGGGAAGCAGAAGCAGGTTGGTCTCTGTGAGTTCTAGGTCAGCCTGATGTACAGAGTGAGTTCCAGGACATCCAGGGCTACACAGAGAAACTCTGTCTCAAAAAACAAGAAAACAGAAAAAAAAGAATAAGGAAAAAACAAGACAGTCTCAGGTGAAAGAACACAAGAATTGTCACAGATTCCTTAAAGAATGGCCAGAGACAAGGGAGACTGCTTGGCTGGTAAAGTGCCTGCCATACAAGCATGAAGACCTGCACTCAGATCCCCAGAACTCATGCACCACATGAGTGCCTGTTGCCCATGGAGGTCAGAAGAGGGTATCAGACCACCTGGAATTATACTTACAGATGGTTGTGAGCTACTGTGGAGTACTGAGAACCAAATCCAGGACCTCTGCAAGAGCAACGAGTGCTCTTAACTGATGAGCCATCTCTCCAGCCCCAGGAAAATGGTTTCTAATTCAGAAGTTTTCCCTCAGTTGTGTTAACATCAATGTCGTAGATCTGAGATGATCTTGCAAAGCATAATTGGCTTACTTTCTCTTCCAGCTGATTTCTGAGGAAGGGGTGGACAGTCTAACTGTGAAGGAATTGCAGGCAGCATGTCGAGCACGAGGCATGCGAGCACTTGGTGTCACAGAAGACCGTCTGAAGGGCCAGCTGAAACAGGTATGTGGCCTCAGTGGCTGGTTGGGGCAAGTTCATAGCTTTTTCCTCTACTAGGAATTATCTACCTTCGCTCCAGACCAGCACAGGTTTGTTTGTTTGTTTGTTTGTTTGTTTTGGGGGCAGAGTTGTGTTGGTCTTCAAGCTAGAAAAGCCCCCGGAGTGGGGTATGGCCCAAGTGAATGCATATCTGGTACAAATGCCCCGAATTCCATTTTCAGCATGCCATGGGAGTGTACACATACACAGAAACCTGAATGTGGTGGCACACTTTGAGACAAAAGGATCAGAGTTTGAGGCTAGCCTGAGCTATAGAGTAAGACCCTGTCTCAGAACAAACAGTGAAAGAAATAGGTGAGTTGATAGACTATCTGCTTACCATGAACAGGCCGTAGATTGGATCTCTAGTGCCATATTAGCATGGTTGTACACATCTGTAATCCTGGCACTCAAGATGTGAAGGCAAGGTAATCAAAAGCAAGGAGTCAAGATTTTGCTCTGTTTTGTTTTTTTCTTTTGTTTTTGTTTTTTTGAGAAAGAGTTTGTCTTTGTAATCCTGGCTATACTGGAACTTGCTCTGTAAACCAGGCTGGGCTTGAACTCAGGGGTCCACCTGCCTCTTCCTCCTGAGTACTGGAATTAAAGGGGTGCACCACCACCACCCAGCCACAATCAGAAATGTAAGACCTTCTATAACTAAAAATCAAGTTTCAGGACACATTGCATCCACAGCAACCCTGTGCCTGGTAGTAGGTGCCTGGCATGTGACACTGAACTCTGCCTCAGTGTGAGGGTCTTAATGCAGTAGTCCCTTGCAGGTCTATGGCAGTAGGTGGCATTTATGGCCTGTCATCTTTCACATCAGAAGCCTTAATGGATATGACCTATGAGCCTGGTCTTCCTCCTAAATGAGCTTCTTGCCTTAGTGCCCTTGGCTCATCAGCCACTGTCCCATGTACTATCCACGTGTGTAAGATGAGTGGATGCCCACTGTCCCGTGTACTGTCCACATGTGTAAGATGAGTGGATGCCTACTGTCTTTTGTACTGTCCACGTGTATAAGATGAGTGGATGCCCACTGTCCCGTGT